TCCCATCGTGGTTCACTGCCAGCAGGCTCCCACACTGAGTTTTGGCAATCTAGCCTCTGGTTTATTGAATTTCAGTTCACAGGGTTAATCATCGTTGCATCACTGCACTGCAGCGTTGTATTTGCGTGGATTGCAGTGTTAAACAGAAGGAGGTCACTCCTGTTGAAGCAAAGAGCTGGACATCATGCTGTTTCTGAGCTCTGCTGTTTAGAGTTGATGTATCATGGAAGCAGTTGCTGAACTTGTGCATCTCGCTCTGTCTCTTCTCCCCCTCTTAAACTTACAGTGGAGTTGCTGAAGCTTTATTGATTTCGGAAAATATTACAATAATTTTAATAATAAGATATAGTGTAGATATGATAATACTGCAATGTACTTGGTAAAAGGGTGATGGTGTTTGCTGCAGATGGTGGTTAAAAACACCAGGAAGTATGTTCAGTGACTTGTATGTGTAGAATATTAGTGACAACTGCAGAATAAAAAGCAAAAACTCTAGATGGACGCTTGCAAACCACACAGAAAATAAATTAAACACACTTTCATTATTTTATATCTTGTTAAGTACTTAACAGGGTTTGTGTTTTTTTTTTTTTAATTGAAACATAATAATGAAATTGATATCTTATTTGATAATTAAGTAAGCACTTCAAACGTTCACACAGCTTCTTTTCATTGACTGTTTACTGGAACTTGGGGAGCATTGTACTAGCAGTTACTGTAGCTCACCGACTACAGTGATGCCACGCTGTTTCTGAGGAAATGAGATGGCCACATGCTGCAGTGAAGAGTACCATAAACCACTATGTAATTCTCTTTATATGTGTCACTCGAGCGTATGTCATTCTTGCAGTTCTCACAGTTACAAATTTCATGGATAGATTTTTTCCTCTTTAATGCTGTTTGTCTAGCATTTTTAACTACTAATATGCTCCCAGCTAAGTTTCTTTTGGATATCAAGATACGGATAACTGCTGGGAGCTTTTCACATCTCAGTTATTTTTAGGTGGGTTGAATATATATTGAATGCTCAGAGGTATCCTGAGTTATAGGTTAAATACTGTTCCTGCAAGTTCCTGATCATTATTAATGCCACCTTGAAAATATATTAGTGTTTTATGTAGTATAGGGAAGACTGGGCGTCAGCCTGGAGGAATTGCCCGGTAAGATTACATACCCCATGTTTATCCTGATACATTTGCCAGCAAAGGGGGAGGAAGAGAGTATGGTCAGAATTCAGCAGGTTCTTTGATTTGCAAGGAATCCACTTGCTTTGCTGAAAAATTCTGAGCTTTATAAAAGGTTAACTGGAAATTATGTAGAGTTGAAGATTTCAGTAGTGTCTTTGGAACTGAAAGCTGGTTATGTGTCTCCACTTGGCAGGATATTGTTTGTATCTGCAGTACAGGTAGTGTCCTTGCAATTTCAGTAGTGTCTTTGTCTTGAAACTGCCAGCTCTCTGTCTTGGTTAATGTGTGACTTCACATTTATAACAGGCATAGTGATTATTTTCCTGTATTGGGAGGACATTTTGATGGTGCTTTAGTTGCCTGTTTGTACAATTAAATGTACTTTATGTTGTCCTTAACCTAAAATCTAACAAAAACAGCAAACAACTTGTATGTGCTTTCTCTTCTGTCCTCTCTCTAGTATTAACAGAATGCATGACAGAGAACATGCCCTTGTCTTCTGGCTTTGCCTTAAGACACCAGTTAGGGGGCCCTTCTTCCTCTCAGTTTCATCTTTGACAAACATACATAACATTTCCCTGTATTGTACGCTTTTGTATCTGTTTCCTTAACTCTTGTCATCAAGGCTTTGTCACCATGTGTGAGCTTCTTCTCCTGATTCATTGAAGTGTTGCAACTGTATTTGGGAAATCTCCACAAAAACTAAACTTTACTTAGAAAAACTATTCAAACTTTTTTTTTTTTTTTTTTTTTAAGAAAACCAAATGAACTGTACTGTATCAACCTTGCAAAGTCTTCACTGTTGTGTCATTAAGGCAAAATAATTTTCTTCTCACTTAGTTTTGCTCTTGTGATATTTTGTCCTGTAGAGTTTCTGTAGATTTGGTAATAAACTGCAACCTAAGCAATTTTCAGTTTCTGACCTTTTCTGCATTCAGCCCTAGAGTAACAAGTGCATAAAAAAATTCAACTGCAAAATAGCTTTTAGGCTGAAGAAAACAGTCTCAAGAAAAAAATTAAAGGAGGAAAATAATATTTTGGAGTTGGACTTCCCTCTGCCCATTATTCTTTAACAAAACATCCTTCTCCTGATAGGAAAACAGAGTTTGATGTGTTCTAAGTTTTTATGTTCCTGTGTTGAGCATCGTGTTTCAGAGTGGTTGCTAACATCGCCTTTTGAATAAGGTTTGGATAATTTGGCTACTTGTAGCATTATTACTGTTCATTCTTCTTGATTTTGACCAGCCATGAGAGGGAAAGATGGATTTGAGTTTTCCTTCTTAGCTCAATTGGATTTCAGGGAACCAAAACTGTCTCTAGTTCTTTAATCTGGTCTTGTATGCCCTTGTTCCATGTTTTCTTCATCCTTTGCGTGCAGTACAAGCTACTGGACAAGCCTGCAACATGGTTTCTTGCAAGTCAATACCAGTTTTCAGAAAGGCAGCCTGTGTTTTACCAGACACTGTAAAGCATGCGTCTCGCCTTCCTACAGATTTAAGTCTTTTGTCTTCAACATCTCTTTGACCTGGAAGCACCTTGGATGTCACGGTTTTGGTTTAGGATTGGGCCGACTGAGGCCATGAAGTGCTTGTATCATTTTGCTGTCATTCTTGCAAGTGAATGTCTGAACACCAAGGTGAAGATTAAAACCGGTTCTGTGTAAGTAGTGCTGCTGAAAAAGGCAACAGAGGCACAACTAAGCTGAGCAAAGGCCGTTTGTGCCAGGTGCTCCCCAGTTGGAAGTGAGCAGTTTGTCGTGAGCGGTGTGTTCCAGGTGTCCCCACCACTGGCACTCTGGTAGATCACCAAAGACATTTCAAAGATAAGCCAGCCTGATGGGTGGGAAAGTCGGTATGGTGATTGTTGATGCACTCATCAAGTACATCTGACTTCCAGAGTCAGAAAGGGTGTCCTGGTTTTTAGCTGGAACAGAGCTGGGTTTCTTTTTATCAGCTAGAATAGTGCTGTGTTTTGCTTTCAGCCTGGGATTTGTTATGAGAGAAACACTTATAACACACCAGTGTTTGTGTTTTTGTTGCGGGAAATGAAGGACTTTGTGTTCTGTTAGTCTACAAGCACAAGATCTAAAGGGGTGAGGAATATTTAAATTAATAAGCTAAACTGGCATTTGGATGTGCCAATGGGATATTCCATATCATATCACGCCATGTCCAGTATATTAGTGAGGGGCTCTTCCTCTTTTCTCTCTCTGGCTTTCGCTTGGGCTCTCGTTCTTTTGGGATTGTGGTTTCAGTTCAGGATTTTCTCTCCTCTGGGATCGTTATCTGGGAATGGGCTGGGTTTGGTCAGCAGGTGGTGAGCAGTTGCACTGTGCATCACTTATTTGCGTATTTTGTTACTGTTATTATTATCACTATTATTTTAATATTAGTATTATTTTAAGTTTTATTTTATTTCCATTATTAAATTGTTCATATCTCACCCTATGAGTCTCCTTACCCTTGCCCCCCAATCCTCTCCCCTATTCCATTGGGGGTGGGGGGCAGTGGGTGAATGGCTGTGTTGGCAGGTAGCCAAGGGCAAGCCCAGTGGAACTATCACAAAGGGGCAGAAGTTGTTCTGTTGCCTTTTGTTTGGGTTTTTTTGGGGCAGTTTCCTTTGGAGGGCACCATGGCCCATGCTGAAGTGGAGTCTTACTTAGCCCCTGATAGATGAAGATGTGGTCAGTTGTTTTGTTGAAAACCTGGAGAGGGGGGTTCTGTTAACGTTTCTTAAGTGGTGGTTGATTGAACTGCTGTGATTTTGTAGATTAAGAATGTTCTTAAAACATGTGCTAGCTCCAAAGTCATCTTAATGGTGCTCAACTTTAACAAGCTATGAATAAAAATTGAGTTAACTTTTCTAGTTCCTAAGTTGAGCCTTGAGATAGTTTGAGCTAATAGAAGGGAATTACTGACACTCATTGTCACCTGTCAGGAGGGTGAAGTTTTGTTGGTTTTTTGTTTTTGTTAACTTTTCAGTGATTAAAAACTTATTTCCTCAAAACTTCATCCTTGGAGGATGATAGGAGTAGCTGGCATCTTAAATTCTTCCTTGAGGTGGAATCTGTCACTTTAGCTGTGAAAGTGGCGTCAGAAGGATGACCTCTGCTAGGTCATGCATGGGGAAGGAAAGCGGAGTCCTGTAATAAACTGGAAAGTTATAGATTAAAGCTGGAAGGTTTTACTGACAGGTAGAGATTAAAGAAGCTACAGGATATGACTTGTAACAATTGCCATCAACTATGGTAACATCAAGTGCCTGATTAAATGCGCTGTATAACTGGTGTGACGTGACATATTGTACTTAGTCAGAAGTGCAATTCATACATTGTTCATTTAGTTCTGTTTCCCTTGGAGCTGTCTGAACGCTCTGCTTTGTTTTTGAAAACTCACTGACCTGGAACAATGCATAATGTTTTTTTTTCCCCCATCTTTCAAGTACAGTGTATGCAGTAGACCATATTATTCACAAACCTCAATCTTTTTATTTTCTTTTCTATCCTATCTGGCTTCCTTTTACAACTATTGAGATGTTGAATTTCCACAGAGGATTGCAGGTTATCTTGCATTTTCCTGTTTGTTTGCACACACCTTAATGAGCTCTTTCTTGTTTTTGCTAGAGATGGTGCGCTGAGTCATTTCCACAAGAGGCTTCTGAACCACTCCGAAGCAAGAATACGTTAAAGAATAAAAAGTGTGAGGGTGCACCAGTGTGAAAGCTGGAAAGCTAACCCCCAAGTGAATGTATTGAAGATTTCTAGACTTGGTGGGACAAGCATCTCTACCTCCAGTTTTATGAATACTGCTAGCTATGGCTGTGGAACTCTGTTTGCTGCTGCTGCTGCTGTTTTGTGGAAGTACTGTTTCAGAGGTACAGCCTATATACAAACCGCCTCCTGGGACTTTGGATTTTGGATTTGTACCAGCCAAGACGTATGATACCGGTGTATACCATGAACCTGGGCCAATAGGAGTTTTGTTTGAAACAGTACATTCATTCCTATACTTAGTGCAGCCAAATTCTTTTCCTCAAGGTAAGTAGATTTTTTTTTTTAATTTTTTTTTAAGTAAAGATTTGCTATTTATGCATTCATCCTGTTGTAGATACCAAGACCATCATCTGGAACTAAATTATTATGAAAGGCTTTGTTAGTAGCACGTGTTATGGCCTGGGAATGTGTACTGTTTTATACGAACAAACATTTTTCTGCTAAGCATAGTGTGTGTGTGTGTGTGTGTGTGTGTGTGTGTGGGTTGTTAATGAAAATGAAATGTTGATGAGATTTCAGAGGACTCTGCTTACATTTCTCAAAGCTGTCACTGATGCTTTTCAGGCTTTTTTTTTAGCTGAAGCTTTTTCTTATGTATGTTCAGAAGCGTGGGACAGTAATAAAGCATAAACTGCTTTGTAATTGATACTAAATACATGAGGTAGCTCTGAGGTTTGCATATTATGATAAACAGTCAGGTGGTTATAATATTATGAGATTCAGCCTAGGAAATGGAAACTTGGCAACTTGAAATAAATTTCATGCTTTTCCATATCTGCATCCACAATCCAGTTTTATGTTGGGGCAGTTCCATTACATAGCCACGTCTAACTCCTTGTTCCTTTGTGAGCTGAAGTTAAGATTTGAAACTGAATTTCTTGAGATTTTTTTTTTTCATTCCTTTCCTACTAAGTTGCTTCTTCTAAAGGAAAAGTTAAGATATCAGAGAACTGTGTGCTTATTGAGGTTGCATTGATTAAAAGGTGCTTTTGGGAATTCTGTGTGTTTGTGGATGTGGTAGTTGTATCAGTTTAACTTTCCAACATGGTTTTTGTTTCGTTTAGCTTTTAAAAGAACATGCTAATGTGTTTGAATAGTATTGGCATTTACAATCATATGGAGGCAAAGTTTTAATAAAATCTAAGAATGGCTTTGTTTTGTTATTGATTCCTTTTGGTGGTTTAGCTGTAACTGTATAAAAAGTTTATATTATTTCTTAATACACCATTCAATTTATTTATATATTAAAATCTTCAGTAATTTAAAATCTTAAATAAATTATTTGGTCATGTACCCGTATGATACTTGTGAACTATAATTTGCTTGTATTTTTTATGTTTCTTAAATAGCTGTAGAAGAATGAGCTCAAATGAACTTGAATGAATGAATTCTATTTAGACAAGTGCCCAGAGTCCCAGGTGTTAACCTGGAGAGCAAAATCTGGCCTGTTCTCTGCAGGATCTGTCTTCTGAGCTGGTCTTACACAAAGCGTAATGAGGGCAATTACATGAAGCTGACAGTAATGTCACCTTTTGGAGGAACTGTTTCCTCTGCTTTTGTGGCCTCTTTCCTTCCATTACATCTGCAGATGAATTATTTGCCTGTCTGTGAGACCTGATACGTTAGGATTGTCATCTGCATTCAACTGTGAGAAACAGGCCTTCGTTCGTTCTAAAGCCCTGCTTGAATAGTTGATTCTCTGGTGGTTGTGGAAACTTGACTTCAGTGAGATGTCTACTGTGTCTTTATGTTAATAGGAATTTGGTTTGTACCTTTGTATGTCAAATTTAATATTATGTGTCCTAAGCATGTAAATAATTACTGCATATAGAATTTATGATCAAGATTGTAGTCCTGTAGGACTGCTTGTAGTAAGTTCTGCATCAAATAGGTGTCATGAAATCCAGCCTTAAAGAAAAAGGAGACATGCAGAAGTAAATCACTTGTTCTTAGCTTGTAAGCTTTGAGTACCTCTTACCCACTCCCCCCTTCCTTCCTCGCAGATACTTTTTACCAAATCAGTTATTTTTGGAAGTTTGGCTTTCAGTGTTTGCACTGGGTGAAGTCCTTTTCCCATGCCCTCACCTACCTCAAAATACAGATTTGACGGATCATGTCAGTTTGAGTCATACCATTTAATTGGTTAATCCCCATAATCTCTTTTGCCATATGCTGTTCTATTTTCACATTCAGTGTATTAATGGTGTAGTTACATGTTTAAAAAGCTTTTTTCTTTTTTTTTTTAAACTGACAGCTTGAAATAGAGTTAATTCTGACTCAGAGCTGAAAATAAACATAATCAAAAATGGGCACAGAAAGCAAGCCTTTTGATGTTTCTAAATCAAAACTTCATCATTCCAATTGAGCTGGTGCTCCAGAAGAGTTAGCTCCAGGTTGATGCCCCAGTGTGTTGTGTATAACCTGAACAGAGAAGCATGATTTGTGTGTAAGACTTGGCATCAATCACCCAGACCTTTGATCTTAGTTGTCTTATATTTTTTTCCTAATATTTGGAAGTACTTGATGTTTGGCTTTCCAATCTACTGTTAGTACTCTTAGCTGGGAGGAAAAAAAGTGACAGGATTGTGTAATTGCATGTAGATTCACCTGGCTTTGAAAGTGATTTTTGTGCTTGCAGTAGCGCTCCAATGGACCTGAATGTGTTACAGTGTAACAGTCATACTCATTTAGTCCCAAGTTATACCTCTTAGGAAGAAAGCTAGTATGATAAAGCAGAATATGAAGTACATCAGAGTCTTCGTGAAGTGTTCTTCTTAAAAGTATTTGCGTGCTGCTAAACCTTAACACCTTAAGGCTCCACCTGGAATACTGCGTCCAGTTCTGGAGCCCCCAACACAAGAAAGACATGGACCTGTTAGAACGAGTCCAGAGAAGGGCCACCAGGATGATCTGAGGGCTGGAGCACCTCTCCTATGAGGACAGGCTGAGAGTTGGGGCTGTTCAGCCTGGAGAAGAGAAGGCTCCGGGGAGATCTTATAGCGGCCTCCCAGTACGTGAAGGGGCCTACAAGAAAGCTGGGGAAGGACTTTTCATAAGGGCAATTAATGACAAAACAAGGGGAAATGGGTTTAAGCTGAAAGAGAGTAGGTTTAGATTAGATATTAGGAAGAAGTTCTTCACTTCCTGTGAGGGTGGTGAGACACTGGAACAGGTTGCCCAAGGAAGTTGTGGATGCCCCCTCCTGGAAGTGTTCAAGACCAGGCTGGATGAGGCTTTGAGCAACCTGGTCTAGTGGAAGGTGTCCCTGCTGATGGCAGGGGGGTTGGAACTAGATGATCTTTAAGGTCCCTTCCAATCCTAACCATTCTATGATTCTATGATCTATTTAAATGCTCTCATGTGTTACTTAAAAGTTGAAAGAGATCACTTAATTTGAAGAAAAAAATCAGTCAAGAAAGATTTTGTAAGTTTTTTTTTTATTTAAATCTGAGTGAGTAATTATTTACTCACTTCTAAATTTGTTCATGCCATCCGGTTTGTGGACATACAACTTAGATTAAGTTTAATAGGTAAATTATTAATGGGATTAAATATAGTGCTCGCATAAAGCGCAGTAACAGAACCAGGGCAAGGAACTGTAACTCCTCAAGGTTTTTTAGCTTGCTGAATCTTTAAGACCAGCACTGTGCTCCTTGGATATGGCAAAAAATTTGCTTAAAAAAGTGAACTGAGATATTTGATTGCAGTGCTTCAGTGAGTGTAAATAGGTTCTGCTTTCAACTCCACCAGTAAAATACTTTTGTCCTCACTAGATGGTGTACTGGTGTAAACAGGAGGGGATTTACTCCCAAGCATAAACTGGTAATGCAGGGAAGCAGCCTCCACTTTGAGTTAATGATACAGTGGAGTGGAAAAGACTGTTTGGTCACTTCTTTGCTACCTGAGGCTCAGTAGGTTGCTTTAATCTTGCTGTGCCTTGGTTGGTGCTACTACTCCTTTTGTTGAGGACTGTGTGGGATAGAGCATAATTCTTTTCTGTTAATAGCACCACTTAAAATATATAGGTGATAAGAGAAAAATTACAGGTTGCTTCTATTGTCTCAGATAAGACAACATCTAACAAAACAAATTGTCAGTTTTTCTCTTACTTAGTATTTGTTATAAACTGAAGCGTTAATTTATTAATAAAATTGAGGTCAGTTCATGCTTGTGACGTGGTGCATGTGCATGCCACCTGTTGTGTTGGAGATCTTCAGATGTGAACTTGGTGTAGACAGGGCATGGTCAGTACGATCCTCTGGCTGCTATGAATATCTTACCATGGCTTTGTCTTTGTTCCTATGGAAACCAGTTGTTAGTTGCAGTAAGAGGACGTTAATCTGAGATTCCACTTGCTAGCAGGATGTGCACAACAAATCTTCAGCTTCACAGCTTGTGTCTTGTAATGAAAATCTGAAGAGTTCACAAAGGAGACAAGCTGGGAATAAAGCTCCTGCTCCTATTTTTAGGTGAAATAGGACAAAAACTTACAGGCCTGTTTGCATTACTCTGCTCTACCTGAATGTATTGCAGGACAACTGTGTCACAGCTGCTTTGTTCCAGCTTCTGCTTTTTATTCTGGATCACTCTGTTTCTGCTGAAGCAGGAATAAAACTTTAACATCAGAATCAACTGTTGAATGCAGGTACTTCCTGGGCAAAACAGTATGAAGAGTTAAGTGTACTATTTGCCTGTGGGGAACAAGAGCAAACTGTTTTTTAGACCTGGACTACACCTCTCAATTCTTTCTGTTTGTGGAATCTCACTTCCTGAGCAGTTTGAGCATAAGACTGAGGGTCAGAACTTGACTATTTTAATGCAAAGTCCTGCCTCTGATCCTTTTTGGTTTTCCATTCTCCTCACCTGGTCAGCCTTTAAAGCAGCTCCAAATTGTTGAGTTCAGCAAGTAGTCTTGTGTTCCATATCTCTGCAATTAGTCTGTCGAATGAGTGTATTCAGCAGTTAAAACATTTTAACATTAAAAAAACCCCCCAAAAAACCCCAACAAACCCAAAATATGTAACTTGATGTGAAAATAAACAGTGTCTCTCTAGCTAATATAGCTGTAATAGAAAATGGATACGCAAACCCCTGTTGTTGTAGGTAGGTTTGAATTCCTAGGATATTGATTTTTTAAAAAAATACATTAGCTGTGTTGGATGTGAGGTTCTAAAGCAAGTAATCAAAACGCTTTATCTCCCTCAGTTAAAAACTCAGTAAGTCTGTTAGTTTTGGGTTTTTTTTTTTGGTGTAAAAACTAACTT